AGATCCCCAAATAGCCCAGAGGTCCAAATAGGAAAATATCTTTTATAAACTATAACAAATCTCTTGCCTCAAAATAAAACACTACAAAATTCACACAATTATATCTATATTCAACATCTTTTACAATATCCAGAAACCTAGTGGATTTTTAGAAACGGCAATGAAAAAAGTTTACATTCAGAAAACACAGCTTAACCAAGATGATGTAACTTGTCTGTTCAATTCCTAGATCATCATAAAGTCACCATTGTTAAAAACACGGGTCTTGGACACCCAGTAAACGCCAGGCAGAACAACCCTTTGCACAAAAAGAATTCCAGTGAGATTAAGTTTTTAATGTTCATTTGAAAACAGTGTTAATACTCAAGTTCCTTGGGATGCCCCAAAGACTCACAGGGTTGCTGGTTACATTTCTGGGTCTGTAGTAGCCTTTTCCATCACGTGTATTCATAGCTGTCCAGTTCTAAACCAATTTCTAGAACTTTTGCTCAAAAACTGGTATGAAGGTGCCTCAATTACTACCTCCAAAAAGTTCGTAAAAGTCTCAGGTTAACATAGACTACTGCTCTACCTGGGACAGCTGGCTTCATTTTTTTCCCTCCTACATTTTCTTTAGAAGGATGTAACACTATGACAAAACTATTTCTTTCAAAAAAAAAACAAACAAACAAATTGTGTTAGCATTCATTAGAGTATCTAATACTTAGGAAGACCTGAGGAAATCCCAGAGCTTCCTCAGGATAAGATGTTTATTTTAGGGCTAACCTGCTGCCAAATTTCAAGGGATTCAGCCCCCAGCCTGTGGCTATAGGCTGAATGTCTGGTGAGGCTTTCCAAGGCAAGAATCCTCTTGGGTCTGGGCCCCTCTGTAGAAATAGTTTTGATAAGGATGCAAATTAAAATGTTTGATTACTTATGATATACTTTGCCTTGTCCTAACTACTTAATTTAAATTTTATCTTAATTTTTACAAAACCTATGAGGGCAATACTATTATCTTCACTTTACACATGAGGAAACCTCAGTTAAGAGTCTTGCTTAAGTCTGCTTCCAAAGCCAGTGCTCTTAACCATTAAGCTGTAGCCATCTGTGTAATTATACCACTAAAACATACATTTATTATAAAGGAGAAATTCTGAACTGATAACAGCAATATGGTTAAAACATAGTATTTTTATAGCATATACCCTTTTAGAGTCCCTTTAACTGTCATCTATTTCTACTGCAGCCACATCCTGACTTTTCTTTTTTTTTTTTTTGCCTGACGTTTCTTTTTACCTCCCTTCCTGCTTATATGAAGGTGCTTTCATACATTGTCCTCAGACACACCTCCTGGCATTTGCAGTGCCACACACAAAATCAGCCATGTCCATCATCAGGGCAAATTGCTTGAAAACAGCCTGTTTCACAGATAAATGCATACAAAATTCTCATCCACTAATATTGTCTGTTCTTTGTGCTTCTGTTCATATGTGTGGTCTTTCATATAGTCATCTTTCTTGGACGGCTCACATTTTTATATACATACAGATTTTCTCATGCCATATGCCACATTCCTGTTCTTTTAGGCCCATTACAGACACCCTTACTGAGCCAGAAACATACATTTCTTTTTTTAGCAGAGGCAGTGGTGAGCTGCAGCTGTCGTGGTGATGGTGATGGCTCTTTTTAAAAACCAGAATGATCTGAAACGTCAAGGCCTAGGGAGAATTCTTGGTTCTGGACAGAACTTCACATGAGGGACTAATTTGTTGTTGAATAACATTTTCATTGCAGTTATTAGACAGCCCTTCTCACTATCTTTACTGAAAAAGTGAGGAAGGGGAGATTGTCACGTGGAGTATGTCTATGTGTGATGGAATTTGAGCCCAGATGTTGGTGGGGGCAGGGCAAGGAGCTGTCATGCGGTGGCATGAGTCATAAGCTCATGTGAATGTGTGATGTGAGGTGCAGGAAAGAGACAGCACATTGAAGGCCATATAGAAAAGGGACAGGAGATTGTCTATGTGTATGCATGTGTATGATAACTGAGGAGCCCATTGTGTAAGATGGTGCTGAGCTGTAAAGGTTCTTGCCAACCTGCTGCACTTGTCCAACCTACAGGATCTCCTGGGAATAAAACCTATCTGGGCAATTCTCTATCTTGTTAGGCCATGGCAGGTAAATTTCCAGCCCCATGACATCATAAAAGGCTCCACACCCATCTTTTCATAAGACATCTAATGAATCAGGCCCAGTTGTCTGCAGTAGTCCAGGTGGGATGTAAGGGGAGGCTGTTTTGGATATGGTTACACCTGAGGCCTCTGAGTCAAACTGTCTTCTCATCTGTAAAGTGGAAATGATAATAGTATTCACTTCAAAGATTTGCAGGATTGAAACAACATATGTAAAAATTGCTCTGCATGGTCTGTAACACAGTTAGCTATGTTAATAACTGAATAAACAAGTTTGTGTGGGCCTTATAGCCCTTATCTTGACTAAGGCTGAAATCTGTTTTTTACAGTGTTCTCTCCCCACCTCCATTCTTCATGGGAGAGAAGTTAGCTCTGCATCAGCCTCTTCCCCCACAAGACTATGTAATACCTCTGAGAGGGTGGGCAGGATATTCCTTCCTCATTATCTTTTGTTGGTGTAATTCTTTTATTTTAATTAAGGAGACAAGAATTGGCAGCATATGAAAGCATTTCTCTTGCTAGATCAGGCTGACTAGAACAAAATCATATGTATTTTAAAACAATTTTGTTTATTAGTGTGTCTTTAACCTGTCAAGTTGGGAAAAAGGGAAAAAATAACAATTAAAAACAGTATTCTGGGCCAGGCACGGTGGCTCATGCCTGTAGTCCTAGTACTCTGGGAGGCCAAGGTGGGAGGATTGCTTGAGGCCAGAAGTTTGAGACCAGCCTCAGCAAGAGTGAGATCCCCATCTCTACAAAAAAACAGAAAAATTAGCCAAGCATGGTGGCTCTTGCCTGGTAGTCCCAGCTACTCAGGAGGCTGAGGCAGGAGTATCACTTGAGCCCAGGAGTCTGAAGTTGGAATAAGTTATTAGGACACCACTGCACTCTGGGCAACAGAGGGAGACCACGAGAATGTCTCAAAAATAAATAAATAAATAAGAATAACAGTATAATGCACTAGAAAAATCTAACACTGACATTTGTCTTACCTTTTGTCAACCCAGCCAAAGTTAGATAATTCAAATGGAACTTTATAAGAACTAAGCTCTGCTAAGCACACGGTGCCTTAAAATACACCTTTGGTGTCTATGAGACTGTCATATTTGATTCTATTTCTTGAACTGCCCCATTTTCACTTGGCTAACTCCTGCCTGTTCTTTAAGACTGAGATGTCATTCTCCAGGAAGCCTTCCTAGTGCTTTTTCTGAAAACATAACACTTAAAAATGACATATCTTTACTTCAAGAAACCTATCTTTATTCTTTCTGTAATAATTTCTTCCAGTGTAGTTTATGTACTTGTCTCTTCCTTTAGACTGAACCCTCTAAGAGCAGAGATTAAATCTCATTCGGTTTTACATTGTCAATGCCTGATACAAAAACTGGTTAAATGTGGTGAGTTTACACCTTGTTTCTGTTTGGTGTGTATTATTATTATAATAGTTTATGAGGACATCTTGTGGCTAGATCATTTATTGCGATAAACAGAAGATACTATTCTAACATTTTTACATTGATTTACCTGTTGTGTAAAACATGACATAATATTGCTTGGGATGTTTTGTATTGTGTAATTCTGTTTGTTTTTCTTCAGGGCCTTTTATGAGATAAACAACAGCAAAACCACTAAAGTGATGATTTGTGAAACTCTCAAATGTCTTCCTGGCGGGAGCCATAAAGGCCATTACATATCTAGATTTTATAGTTAGTGATTAGGGAGACATGAAGGCAGACCTAGATCTAAATCTCACTCCTATCAAATCTTGGGTGACCTTGAGAATAAGCCACTCTGAAGTAAAGTTCTCTGCAAAATGGAAATTATCCCTTCCTTAATATATAGTATATATAAAGTACTTGGCACACAGTGCCTGGCATATTAAAGTGCTCTAGGTGGTTATTGATAGTTATCTAGAGTCTAACTAACCATCTAATGCCTGAGACATTTCCCCACCCCCAAATACAACAAACACACCAAATATTCATCCATATTCTGCCTGAACACCTCTAATAATAGTGAAAATTACTGATGCTAGTTGTGGCACATTCCATTCACAGTTCAACTCTAATTTCTAAATATGCTATGATGGTTTTTCCTAGTACCTGTAAGTACAAGAAACTTACATCTGTATTATTTTTCTATAGGTTTCCTTTTTAAAGATGTTTAATATAATAAAATCATCAAATTTTAAATTCACTGTTCCACATATTTATCTTTCATGTAATACTTTTTCATTATGATACTTAACTATAAATGGGGTAAGACCTTAAAAGCAATTTAACTTTGCTGGATTTTATTGTTAAGCTTATATTTTATATTAAAATGGCTTTATGGTATAAGTTCATTTAATTCTAGTAACTCATTAATTACTGTATTTCTTCCCATCTTTTGTTTAAGTTGTTTTGAACTGTTCATTACTAAGTAATTTAAAATACTCTGCTTGTGCAAAAACTAAGAAACACACAAATTAAAACCTATAATGAGTTAGCAGATCATATAGGAACCAGGTGGCTCTGTTGGTGCAAAATTTCCAAGGAGACGTTGAGAGGTATTGTGTACACATGGCTGAAAGACTCAGACTGAATGTTTGATTTCTGTGGAGGACTGGAGATCACCAAAAACTATTACTGTTTTTCCCTAAACACTCCTTTTCCTTTCAAAATAATTTTCGTAAGGGTTAATTTCTATCATAGAGATATTGGCAACTTACTTGAATTTCTGAGTCAACTTTTTTGGGAAGATTCAGTTTCTAATGCAATGATTATTCTTCATTGGCTTTTCTGTTACTACAGAATTAATGTACAGAATTCTTTGTTTTATGTTTAGGTGACTGTTATCTCTGCTGTTCCTGGGAAAGTGGTTTGTGAAATGAAAGTAGAAGAAGAGCATACTAATAAAATGGGCACTCTCCATGGCGGTTTGACAGCTACTTTAGTAGATGACGTATCAACCGTGGCTCTGCTATGCACGGAGAGGGGCTTACCTGGAGTCAGTGTCGATATGAACATAACGTATGTATCCAGACTATACCCCAAATAACATTTTTTAATGTAATAATTTATCAAACAACTGAGACTAAAAACATCCGTAATATTAATGAAGCATGGATTTGATTAGCTGCATATTTCCTTAAGTGCAGCTATAGATTTCTAGAACTAGAGTGTTAATTTCCAAGAATTGTATATATAAATAGTAAAGGGGGAATATTCCCAAACATTCGAAAAAGTAGGCATTTAGCTGCTTTTTTATAAACACACACACACACATACACACACTTGTGGGGAGGGGAGAATCACAAACTTGTGGCTCATAACTGTTTCATATAGTCCTTAAAAGTGCCAGTTGTACAAATGTTTTATGAGTGTTGTGTAGAGCACATATAAAGAAAAGTGTGAATAAAATTCAAAACACATTTAGAGTTCATCTACACACTCACTGTAATCTTGTTCTAACAAGCTGAACGCAAGCGTCAGGTTTTAAGAACAGGAAGCCATCCTGGATCTCTCCCTTCAACTACACAGACATGCTCTGTGAGTTTAAAACACACGCTCAGGGAGCAGTGCCACAGATGTCAGGCTGTCACTCACTGCTGTGAAAATGCCTACGGGGGCCAGACCTTTCCAAAATATAAAAAAATCAATTCCAACATAAACTAGTACTGTTGCCAGTCCCATTCAATTAAGAGCAGGGCCCAGGAATTTAGTTTCAAGACAATTGCTTTTTCCACCTAAGCAACAGAGAAAATGAATTTGTTGAGAGGATAGGCAAGGGTTAGGGTTGGAGAGCCATAGTTACCAGACATGACAGCAATGGAAATAATGTAGGTAATTGGATTTTTAAGCAATCTGAATCTTTTAGTAGGTTAACTTAAGAAACATTCACTGCCTCTACTATGGGAATAACTGAAATTGAGGATACACTAAGCAAATCAGTGGATAAGATTAGACAAATGCTCTCGAAACTAAGATGTTCAGAAAAGGAAAGAAAGGTTTTGCTTGTATTACTGGTGAGCGTTTTCAGCAGCCCTGTCTTACTCCGTGTGATGAGGGGTAAGACCAGTTGATAACTCTGCTTTTCCTTAAGAGCATCCATTAAGAACAGAGAGACATCTTCAAACCTAGCGCTGCATTTCATGATTTTTCTAGATACTGCTGCTTTCACAACCCTAAGGAATTTTTAGTAAGTCAAATATAGTTTTGGGCTTTCAAAGTATGTGTTGCCAAAAGCGTCAGCCACTATCAAGAGCTGCCCAAGCTTCAAAAACTGAGTGACGTGAACAGAAACTAGGACAGAGTCTCAAAGATTATAAATATTTCAAAAGTAAATGAATGACATTTCAGTCAATGAACACCTTATGATTCACTCTTTGTACTACCACTTGACATGGTACCAGATTTACCTCCTGTGCATTAATTCTATATTATACAGACTGAGGATGCCTGTTAGACCATGACTTACATTAAAAAAAAAAAAAAAATCTGGGTTCCGAAACAACAAAATGGGAAATTCTAGGATAAGAATACTGCTGACAATATGCCAGCTTCCCAATTCTCCAGACTTAATGTTTGCTCATCTATAGCACAAGAGGTTGCTTGTCTTTCCCTAGTTTCGTTTAAGTTAATGGCTGGAAGCCAAAATATCTTGATTTATAGGAGAAAATTTGGAGAAATAATGAAAACTAGGCAAATTACTACTGAACATGCCGTTCTAATATCTTTAAATTGAAGTACACGAATTCAAGACCAGCCTCTGTTCTTTCCAGCAGTAAAGTCTAACTTTCTTACATCTCCCAGCCATAAACACTGAAATTTTGTTTTTGTTTTTTTTGTTGTTGTTGAGAGACAGGATCTCGCTCTGTCACCCAGGTCACCCAGGCTGGAGTGCAGTGGCGTGATCATAGCTCACTGCAGCCTTGAACTCCTGGGCTCAGGAAATCCTGCCTCAGTCTCCCAAGTAGCTGAGACCGCAGGCACATGCCAACATGCCCAGCTAATTTTTTAAATTTTTTTTTTTTTTTTTTTCTTTCCTTTAGAAATAGGGTCTTGATATTTTGCCCAGGCTGGCCCTCGAACTCCTGGCCTCAAGTAATCCCCCTGCCTCAATCTCCCAAAGTGCTGGGATTATAGGCGTGAGCTACCACTCCGAGCCTGAAATCTTATTTTGAATTTGTCAAAAATACATGCCCTTTTTCAAGGAGTCTTAAAGGCTCCTTGCTTTGTAAAAAGCAGAAACATAAAAATAAACTGTAAGGAAATTATTTCCCTTTAAAACAGTGCTCCCCAACCTTTTTGGCACCAGGGACTGGTTTCATGGAAGACAATTTTTCCACAGATGGGAGTGAGGGAGGGATGTTTTGGGGATGACGCAGGGGCATTACATTTGCAGCTGCTGCCCAGCGCTAGCATCACCACCTCAGCTTCACCTCAGATCATCAGGCATTAGATTCTTACAAGGAGTGAGCAACCTAGATCCCTCGCATGCACAGTATAGATTAAGGTTTGCACTCCTTTGAGAATCTAATGCCACCACTGATCTGATAAGAGGCAGAGCTCAGGCAGTGATGCGAGCAGCTGTAAATACAGATGAAGCTTTGCTCTCTTGCCTGCCGCTTACCTCCTGCTATGTGGCCCGGTTCCTAATAGGCCACAGACCGGTACTGGTCCAAGGACTGGGAGTTGGGGACCGCAGCTTTAACATTGTTTTAAACAATACTCATCCCCCAAGTTGTTTTAAATTAGACTCAGCTGAATCAAAGACAATTTATGATTACAAGTGGATAAGAAGTATATGTCTTCAAATATGTATATACAATTCATCACCAGGATTAAGAATCTCATTAATTCCTTATATTCTTCTATGAAGTCATTTTAGAGTTGAGCAAATTCTAAATATTGATATGACAAGATAGAGACACCAAGGGATACGTCACCTAGGAAGCAGATTAAATGAAAGCTAGAGGAAATCTTTCACCAGCCCCAAATATATATGAAGTGGGAAACTTAAAGGGGAAAAAAAGGAGGGGCAAGAAAACCCCTTCCCGTATTTATGGGAAAAGAAACATGTGGATAAGGATAGGTAAGTAAGATAGAACCTGGTAAGGACCAGCCATTCACATTCGATAGTACAGAAAGCTTACTAATATTATTCTTAAACTATTTTTAGGAGTAAAATAAGTTACACAGGAAGGCTGTTGTGAAATGCATACAACTTTCCCTTTTAAAAATTATTTGCTGTTATTTAAATTTGTTTCCTTTCAAGGTACATGTCACCTGCAAAAATAGGAGAAGATGTAGTGATTACAGCACATGTTCTGAAGCAAGGAAGAACACTTGCATTTACCTCTGTGGATCTGACTAACAAGGCCACGGGAAAGCTAGTAGCACAAGGCAGACACACAAAACACCTGGGAAACTGAGACCAGCAGGATGACCTAAAGAATCCCAGCAGTGAATATCAAGTGTAAATTTGACTTGAACAAATGTAATTTTCAAAATAAATTAGTAAAACCAGAAGCAGAAATATTTTCTTTGGAGAAAAGGACCTAGAGACTAAGTAGAGGGAGGTGGGGGTGTTTGTTATTTAATTTTAAGTGTCTTCAGTTTTATTTTTTAATCATATATATAATTGGATGGAAAATTCTTAGCTCAAAGTGTTCTGAAAACTTAGGTGAAGCAAAGAAGCCAGCAGAGCCATTCTGAGGTAAGATTACTTTAAAACTAAAGTCCAATATTGAGCTAAAAGAGAAATACAAATTAATGGTTGTCTTCGTTGGGGTTGCTATAGCAAAATACTATAGACTGAGTAGCTTATAAATAGAAACTTCTCGTGGTTCTGGAGGCTGGAAGTCCAAGGTCAAGGTTCTAGCAGATCCATCTGGTGAGGGCCCACTTCCTGGTTCATAGATGATGACTTCTTGCTGTGTTCTCACGTGGTGGAAGGGGCAAAACAGTTCTCTAGGTTCTCTTTCAAAAGGGCACAAATCCACTCATGACTGCCATCATGATCTAATCACCTCCCGAAGACCCCCCACCCCCTAATATCATCACCCTGGGGGTTAGGATTTCAACATATGAATGACGGGCACACAAACACTGAGACCATAAAAATGGCCAATGCTTAATGAATTTTAGGTCCTTCCCAGATCTAAAATGCCATGCCACACTTGCATTTCCTTTTTTAAGATTATGGAACTTCAAAATGGATGAACCATGGCCCAACAGTGGAAAATAAAATATATCAAACCATATAGTCTGAAATAGTCCTCAAGAAAATTTGATGCAAAGCACATTAGTGATACAGAAAATGGCCCAAATGCTTTTCTCTGATAACTTATAGAACTAGCATCTTTTAAAGGGGGAAAAAGCATACTATTATCCCCTTTTCTAGTACCTAGAATAAAACCATGCAGATCTTGAATCTTCCTGTCCATGGTATTGAAAAGACCAAGTTCACAAACTATTTAGTCCGTTTTTCAAAGGTCTCAAACTTCTGTTGAGCATGGCACTCTTAACATTTGACTTTTACATCAGGGAGTCTTAGTGTACATTCCATGACTAAAGACTGATAAGAAACAAGGCAGCTTTAAATAAATCTATAAATACAATTAACAGTTAAGGTTGGTTATCCTTCGCCTATATTGGAATGCATGCTGATCTATCAACAGAAAGGACAGAAGCAGACTCCCTAGTAGCAGTGAGCATACAGGAGTCACAAGACCTTGATTTCTAGTATTTCCCACTAAAAGGAACTCCTTGGATAAATAGCTGATTCCAGAGCTGAAAGCTGGGAGAGAAAAGTTACAAAATGCCCCCCAAAATTGATGAAGACATACAACATGCACTAGGGGGAGAAAAAAAGAATCTGAGTCCATAGTGTTTAGGTAGGTAACATGGCAGACAGATGGACTCTTCCTTAGAATGAACACTGAAAGATGTGGCGGGAGGCATAGATTTGGAAAATCACTATTATGCAACCCCCATAGTTAAAGATGGGTGTGGAAAGAATCAGCAATGGAGCTCTTGATAAAGGATATTTGCATACTGTTCCCCATAGACTGCTAATGAGTCCTTTATACAGTGCAGAAACAGAATAACACTTTGACGAGGCAATCAAAATTAACATCTGCAAAGAGCAGATGGAGAGTGTGATCTGGATATTAATTTGAGGGCATAAGGTTAATTTAACTATGAATACAATTCAAATGCAAAATGAGAAGTTTACATGAAAAACTACCCTGTACCCCAAAATGTGGAGGTCATGAAACAGGCTAAAGAACTAGTCCAGATTAAAGGAGACTAGGGGCTTGGTGAGGTGGCTCATGCCTGTAATCCTAGCACTCTGGGAGGCCTAGGTCAGAGGACTGCTTGAGCTCAGGAGTTCCAGAGCAGCCTGAGCAAGAGCAGGACACCATCTCTACTAAAAATAAAAAAATTGCCAGGCGTCTTAGCACACGCCTGTGGTCCCAGCTACTTGGGAGGCTGAGGGAGAAGATCACTTGAGCCCAGGAGTTTGAGGTTGCAGTGAGCTATGATAATGCCACTGTACTCTAATCTGGGCGACAGAGACTCTGTCAATCAATCAATGAGACTAGGGACATGACAATCAAATGCAATGATCCTATACTATAGGGGGATTAAAAAAAAAAAAAAAAACCACTACCAAGAATATTGAGACAGTTGACAAAACTGGAATAAGGAAGATATGTATATTGTTACATTTCCTGTGTTTGATAACTTTAGTTACATAAAATATTCTTGTGCTTGGAACATACATACCAAAGTAGTAAGGGGTAAGGAATCACATATGCAACAAACTCTCAAATGGTTCAGAAAATATGTATAAATATATATACAAAGAAAAATGTGGCAAAATGATAAAAACTAAATGTAAAGTTTATAACAGAAAATAAAAACTTGAAACCAATGGCTGCTGAAATGCCTAATTTAGCGAACATAACTCAATGTACTATAGTTAAGAGCTTGGGCTCCAGCGCCAGCCAGCCTGGTTTTAAATCCTCCACTACTTATGATTCGGGCAAGTTACTTTAACCTCTGTTATCTATTTCCACTCAAGGTTGTTAGATCAAGTTACAAGCTTAGAAGAGTACCTGGCCATAATAAACATTCAAAGTGTTATTTAAAATAGATTCTAATTTTTAACAGATCAGAGAACATGTGAAAGCATTTTGAAATTAAGAATGGTATTTTTTATTTTCCACGAAGCAGGGCGTAAGGCTACGCTGTTGTTGAAAGCTGACAAAATGTCCGTGATTCATATTGCTGAAGTTACAAACTCAACTGCCAGCTTTTTTCCTTCTGAATGTACTCTTTAGCCATGGACTATGATGAAATAATCCCCGAAGGTGACCAGTAACATCTACCAGTGACTTGGGGGAAAAAAGTTACCACTTCAAGCTTTGTGTATTCACCTGAATAGTCAGGGAACTTTCACCTATTTTATTTAGGTTTTCATTTTTCAAATTCCAACCAGAAGCTAAATACAATTGGAAACCGGTAAGCACTAGTTTTACTCCAAAGGAGTAGGATCATTCAGATTTACTCCAATAAAAGTATGCAACCCTTAAGCAAAGCTTTTCTTCATTTAAAAGAAAAAAAAAAAAACTATACAGTAGTCTTTCCTTATGTTCATTGCACAAAATGAGTTCTGCTTTTAGAACTTTGACACTCAATGGTTTTTACAATTTAAGATTCCAACTTTTATAACTTTTTTCTACTCCAAAAAACCCTCTAAGTTTTTCTTTAGGATAGTGTAGAAACCAGTATTTCTGAACAATTCACTGGATTTTTTTTCTTTGTAATAAAAATCTCTTCTCTTTAAAACCCAAAAGCGAAACAAAAACCAAAAAGGAAAGTCCTCTATCATGGTTTCTGCAGCTATGAATGTATTTCTCAGTTTTATAGCTGCTTTAGCTACTTCAGACTCCAGATCTGCTTTAATGTGTATAACTGCATCCACACTCAGCAGAATACTCTTACAACAGCAACTTGGGGAAAGAGATCTGGAAAGAAAATACATGTACTTATGAGTACCAGGAAACAAACATGGCCCAGTAAAATATGAGGCAAGAATGCCTACAATGAGATGCTTTTTTCATTTAAGATTTCTTTCCCATGGTTGTAATTTCTTTTTTTAAACAACCACTTCTGGTTATTAGAATGGATCTGACAGTGCTCTGGAACAACGGTGATTATAGCAAAGCTATGAAGTTTTTAAAAATGTTATTTATACCTGTTACATTCACTTCTCACCCTCTAAATATTGATGACAGATGTCAAAGAGGCAAAAAAACCCAGCACAAATGGGAAGACCATCAAAAATGAGTATCACCTTGTGCTTTCAAATACATTTAAGCATTTCAGTGTACAATAGTCCTTTCATTTCACATTTTTAGTTAGATGCTGATGCAGTGCAGCAAATATGCAAAGCATCTTCTTTCACACAGTCCGTGCAGAAGACATCTAATTTTTTTTTAAGTTCTGAGATACAAATGATTAAAAAAAAAAATCCAGGATGAACAAGTTTCAAAATGCATAGTGTTCTGTGCATGAGTCCATTTTCTTCAAACTCTGAAAGAATAAAGTGGTAAGAAAAAATAAGAAAAAAATTGCTGCTGCATTCTCTGATCTTCTCCATTTTGCTGGTCAGCACTCTATTCTGGCATATAAGGACGGAGGTGATCCTCTATGGTGCCAACTGCCCAGTGGGTGAGCTGTTCCTGTGGCAGGTAGAGGCAGATGCTGCATAACTTGAAGATTGTAGCTTTGTTTTTTGGAGTCTGGAAGGGAAAAATTTTAATATTCTTAATAAATAAGACTTTAACATAACTGTCACATGAAGTCAATCTCTCCCACAATTTATTAAGTACCTATGAGCACAGTAACAAACATACAGAGTAAAGGATAACGTATGGTCCCTACCCATAGTCTAGTTAGAAAGACAGAATCTTGCCATACAAGATACAGAAAAAATAGAGTAAAAATGATTGTACACTAAATAAATGCTTAGAGAATTTCTGCAGAATTAAAAGATAAAAAATTAAGGAAGCCAAACAGATTACTTGCTAAAAGAAATCAGAGCTAAAGGCATTTAATGGGGACAGACTTGAGTAGAGGTTTGAAGTCATATTTATATACATAAGACAGAAAGCTTATGTGGTGAGAGTAGAAGCTACAGAAAGGATTAAAAATAGGTAAAGATTTAAACATATCCTGGGGTAAGAGATCAGAAAGCCAAAGTATTACCAGGTAAATCAAACTCTTTAGGTATCATTTCTAAGTAGTGGTAACATGTGCTAGATGCTTTCACAAACTAAAACTACTGCTAGTGAATGGGAGATGGAATCTGAACCCAGACCTGACTGCAAAGTTCTTTTCACTACAGCACCTCTAAAAGGCAAAAGACTTTTGACTTTGCTGATGTGTGAAGTAGTCTATATATATACACATGTATTAGTTTATTTAAAATGGCACGACATATGTTCCCACACATATGT